ATATAGCTTGTTAAGCCTTTTCCTAGCTGGCAGTAGGAAACATCCACTATGTTTGAGGAGTCATAATGAATTTTTAAAAATTCTACAAAAAGAGAAAAATTACAACTCTTGGTCCCAAAACACCTTTAATATTAAGGTATTTACATAAAAATTTACAAGGCAAAAAGATTACATTTGACCCTCTAAAAGTTGGCCTAAAGTTGCCACTTGGTGGCTAGGTTGCTTCATGGCATGTCTTGAACTATCTTGCACCATGCCTTGCGCCTTTACTTGCACTTGCACCAACAACTTCTTAGGCATGTCTTTGGCTCTCCAAAGGGCACAAATGTGTGTGGCATCAAGGTATTGACCCTTGGATGGGCCCACCTTAACACAATGCCAGGGGCACAGCAGTTGGGATGGCGCCTCTAGCTCACTTGGCGATTTACAAAGTGTGCTTTCAACAGTATTGTCTAGACAGCGATATATTAGCTAGGCTCAATGCTGCTGTGGGAGGACGGTGTTGATGTGATATCAATCTCTATAATTGATTATTCACAGCCGCTCTTTGAGGACAACATCTGCGAGGCTCATTTGCAGCGATTCCACGAGGTATATTTGTAAGCTGCTCGACAGGGAACTCCGGCCCGGCCAAAAGTACTGTCAAACGAGGCACCATGGATTCTAACTGTTGGAGCGAGCACCATTGACAGAAGCATTTGAGTGACAGCAAAGCTCGGAAATGGGGAAGAATTTGACAGTGAATCCTTGTTCCAGCCTGATGACTTCCCTCCAAAGTTATTCCCTCTTATTGATGCTAGCTCGAACAGTACACAAGACTGTTGTGCGCTGAAAGATCATTGAACGGTATCCACACCATGATTTGATCATGATTCCCACTTGATTTGAACGGTTTAAGATGTCCAATTAGTCAATCAATACCCATTCAATCTAATTTTGTTCATATTTAATTGGTGCATAATAATAGGATTTATTATTTTGCGTGAGATCATTACACGCAAATTCATTTTCATGCTATGCAGTCCTTAATTTGTTTTAATTTTGTTTAACGTATAAAATGTGTCCTATGGTATTTCTGTCAAACGCGGTTTGCCGTAGTCATTAGAATTATGGTTCGTTGAGAAGATTATACTTGTAAAAAATTAAATTGATTTGAATACTATAGACACATTAGTCGATTACATTTATCTTCAAAATAATAAACATTCTATCATAAAAAATATAATTATTGTCCATTTCTATATACAAATGTGATCTAACCATGTAATTATAGTTGTTCAAACAATTTGATTTTTTTTTTTGTAAGAATGGTATTCTAACATGTTCTTAGATATGAACGGCTCATAATTGAGGTGGTCCCGTGGGGAGCCCACAAAAACCCAACAATATCTTCAGTTAATTTTGCAACTAAAGGAAAACGTTACCCTAATTTAATAAATTATTAAGTGTCTTTAGTCTTACTGATTTATCCCTACTCAAATTCTCCCTTCAATGTTCATAATATATATATATATATATTTTAATTTTCTGTAGTCCATAATTTTATATTGTTACTCGTGATAATGTGACAATATCACTTTTTGAATGTTATTTCTTAATGAGTGGAGCTTTCTTTAGAAAAAAAATAAATAAATGATAAGCTATATAAGCCTTAACTATGATATTTAAAAAATAAAAATAATTTACAAATAAAATTTAGTTATATGTATATATATATATAACTTATAAAAACTTTGGTGGCCGGAACATTTTACAGTTATGAACTACCACAAGATGGATGCTTTTTTGTTTGAAATAAAAAGACTATAAAATGACATATTATTTGTATAAAAGTTTTAAAATTTATTTTATTTTGTTTTGTTTTGTTTTATTTTTATGTAGCATTAGCGTAAACAAATGTAGAGCATGCAAAAAAAGAAACCTAAAGCCTTTGCTTAGGTGGCTTTATATTAAAGAGGTGAGGGTTGTAGTTGTGATAAAGTGGTGGTAGTGTTAGGATAGCATTGATAGGTGATAGGTGGGTGGTGGTGGCAATGAGTGCTGATGGTAGTAGAGTGCTGGGGGTTGGTGGTGGTGTTAAGATTTTAGTATGAGAAATGCTTTTAATTTTATAAAATAGAAAATCGTTTTTACACAAATTAATTCATTTTTCAATGTCTTTCACACAAATTAAGTCACTTTTTGTAATGCTTGTCGTTCTTGTATTTTGATTCTTGAGTAATTTTGGTTCCTATAATTTTAATTGGTTCGATTTTGATTATAAATTTATGATTTTGTCTCAATTTAAACCAATTGATTACAATTATTATCATTTTTTAATAAAAAAATGCGCACATAAGTGACATGTATCATACTTTTAGGTTCACAATTATGAACTTGCTCAACTCAATAAGTTATCTCGATCAATTCAGTAATCATTTTATGTAAAAATAAAAAATAATAAAAAACACTAAAGGTGTTATTAATTTGACTATATTGACATAAAATCTAAAATTAAATATCAAAATTGAACCAATCAAAACTATAAGAATTAAAATGGCACAAAAGGCAAAATTTAGATGGCAATTGTTAACAGATGTTAGGGGAGAGAGTTGGATGTGTCAAATTTAATTAGAAAAGGCTATCTCCCTATTTAATTTTTGGCTCGATGCACTGCTTACAACAGTTTTTTTTAATAATATTAATCGATTTTGCATTAATTTTACCCCACTGTCAATTGTTGTTCATGATCAAATGAAAGTTGTTGATATAACATCTAAATTTCAATTAAAATTTTATTTTATCCTAAAATTATCTCCAAAATATCTATTACACCCCTGAATAAAATGAAATTTTGGGTAAAATAATTATGTCATTAACACTAACACAGTTAAGTTTAATGGTCTTGCAGTTTATTTTCAGTGACTGGCTTCACTACGACTTTGGAAAACTTACTATCACAGACATAAATGGATCAATAGAGATGTGGCACAACCAACTTGAAGTTGACCTCCTTTACCAAGTGAGATTCATGTTGGTCCAATTTTGCGGGAAATTATCAAATGTGATCTTGTTGAATTTAATGCAAAGACTACCATATCTAGAACGGCTGAAGGTATGGTGGTGTGATTCACTGGAAACAATATTTGACTTCCAAGGGTCGGTATGCGCTAGTATTACTGTTGTGAGACCAACATCAATCGTTCAGTTAGAAGATTTGAAATTGATGTATTTGCCCAAGTTGACGCATATATGGAAGAATGTTTCTCAACAAACTCATTATTTCAAAAAGCTAAGGTCACTAGAAGTGGAGAGGTGTGACAACTTGAGATATATATTCACGATTTCCATGGTCAAGGTCCTTGTGTATCTAAATTATGTAGGAATTGGAAATTGCGAGAAAATAGAAAAGATTGTTACCACGGAAGAAGAAGAAGAAGAAGAAGAAGAAGAAGAAGGAGGAGGAGGAGGAGGAGGAGGAGAAGGATATGGTGATGATGAAAGGGGCAAAATCCGTTTTGTCAGTGTGGAACTTGAAAATCTTCCGAATCTTGTGTGTATTGGAGTTCCAAAATCACAAATTCATATCTCCAAATTGCGCGTAAATTTCTGCCCCAAGTATCGAGGTAACCAATTATACTTCCACACAAATATGCTTCTTTCATTCTCGTTGTTTTCAAAAAATAAAACTTTCTCAGAAAGCAACTTCACTACCCCATATATTTGCCACATCGACATCTCCCAAAATGGGAACGGTTTAAGGAAGAAGATTCTCTCCAGCATTTTCTTCATTCGTTCATCATTTAATAGTTGATCCAAAAGCCACAGTTGGTAATAATGATTAATTGTTGAATTGTTTGATGAAGAAAGTGTTGGAAAGAATTCGAATACACGATTTAGCTGTTGTCATTCATGGTTTGTTTACATCCAGTCGTACTTGTTGGCTTCATTCACCATAAAACATGTGATGATTGAAGCTAGAACCTCCAGAAACCACTTTCATTTTGTTTTTCCTTCTAACTCAAGAAAGTGACTTCACTTCACTGTACTTGCCACATGGTTATCTAAAATAATAATAGGATAAAAGACAATTTTGTTTTTCATTTTAGTCCCTTAATTTCAATTTTGTTATTTTGGTTCTTAAAATTGTCAATTTGAGTCAATTTAGTTTTACGTCTAACGTCCTTCTACGTTGATAACAAGAATATGGATAAAACATAATTTTGGTCCTTAAAATATGCATTTCTTGTCATTTTAGTCCTTCAAATTTTAATTTTTTTCATTTTGGTCATCAAAATCGTCAATTTGAGTCGATTTAGTCCTGGTTCAAATTGACAACTTTGAGAACCAAAATGAAAAAATTTAAAATTTAAGGAACTAAAATGATGAGACACATATTTTAAGGACCAAAACTATCTTTTACCCAAGTATAAAATATTTTTTCCGTTATCAATGTAAATAGATGTTAGAGAACTAAACTGACTCAAATTGATAACTTTGAAGACCAAAATGACAAAATTGAAACTTTGAGAGATTAAAATGACAAAATGCATACTTCAAGGAGTAAAATTGTCTTTTATCCATAATAATAATAATGATAAGAAGAAAAACAGACACAAATAAATTGGTCCTATACGCATTTGTGAATATATAAATCCTATTATTTTGTTTCTAGGAATGATAAAAAGAGGTAAGAAATGAAATTACATATAGCATTGCTCTAATAATAATAATAATAAGATCTCCAAAAATACTTATCCTTAATAAACTGTGTGCATGTTTTTAATCTTAAGATATATAATTATTGTCTCCAACAATTTGTATATTTCAGAAATTAGTAGTATACCCTCCAGATTTTGAGCATTGTCTATACACTAATTTCTTACAACGTCACAACGTGATTGTCACTAATATAGTATTGGTTAGCAATAGATTAATTCATTAACTTATGCTTTGTTTGGATATTTGGAAAGGGATTTAGAAATGAAAAGTGCCACACAAAAAAAAAAAAAAAAAAAATCCCCATATTTCATTCCCATTATTCTCACATTTTTCAATTTTCTTGTCAAATCTTTACTCAAATTCGTAATTTGAACCTAGATCATGATTTTGGGTAAGGATTTAGAATGGAAAAGAAAAAAAGAGAGTGAAATATGAATGAAAATATAAGTTAATTTTTTTTTTCTATTTTCATTTACCTTTTCTATTTTTTTCTCTATCCAAATTTATTATTCAAACACAATGCAAAGTATTTACTTGGTTATCTTTATTTATTTTTCATTTTTTATATTTTTTTGGCCAATAGGTGAAAGGCTAATTACAAATTACAAATCTATCTATCTATCTATCAATACGATTATATAAGCAAACATACCGATACCGTGTAGTGATTGAAGCTCAAAGTCTCAATTTATTTTTAAAAAGGTAAATTACAAATACATCCATTGAGATTTACTAAAAATACGAATCGTCCCCCGTGGTTTGAAAAATTACAAATACCCCTCTGTCAGAATTTTTTATTTAACAGAATTAATTGAAAAAGTAAAATTTTCAATTGGTCACCTATATAATAATAAAATTATTTGAATTATTAATTAAAGTAAAATTTTAACATTATTAAAAATTGTTAATTAACTTGATGATTTATTAATAAAATGACCTATTTGTTATGAAATTAGAAACTTTAAGAGACATAATGTAATTTCTAAAATCACAGGAGGTAATTTATAATTTAATTAAATCTGAAGGGATGTGTTTGTAATTTATCCTTTTTAAAAAGTTGAGTCTTTAGATAATTTTAATAAATGATATTTGCAAGTGACAGTTTAAATAACCTAATAGTTGAGTGATCTTTAATAAATGATATTTGAAAGCAGAGGTGGTGTTGACGATAATGATGAATCAAGTTATTAGCTATATTTTTAGTTTTAGTAATCATTTGATACTTGCCACATGCAGGTTATAATGTGGAAGGGGAGTAATATTTACCATTTACTGCGGTGGGTCGCCAATCTCTTTACAAAAAAGGTATGCATTGCTATACACACCAAAACAAAATAATAATAATAATAACAATAATAATAATAAAGTATAGAAAAAAAACTATTACACCAAATGCCTCTTCATCTTGTCTGTGGTTTTATCTGTTTATGCTCATATCCTTTAATTTTTAGTGTATATATTTATATTTCGTTTGAGGCCTTCCAAATAATATTTTTTTGGATAAATTGTACTAATAATCCCTGTATTTAGGTGCTTGTGCCATCTTGGTCTTTATAATTCAACTAATTTGATTTTTATCCAGAATTTATGATTTTGTCTTAATTTGGTCCAATTGATTATAATTGCTAGCATATGTGCAAATGAAAGGCATGTGTCTTTCTTTTAGAGTGAAATTGTAAACTAGATTAACTTAGTAAGTTAACATCAACTAACTCGGTGATAATTCTCCGTTAAAAAAATCTAATGACATTATCAATTGAACCAAATTGATCCAAAAAAAAAATTAAATATAAATATTGAGCCAATTAAAAGTGTATCTAAAATGACTTAAGGGGCAGAATATAGAGACTATCATTATAATTCACCCTATTTTATTTTAAGAATCTAAACACTTTGCTAAACTGTTTCATTGTGTTAAGTAAGAGTTGTATTTTTTGTTCTTTGGTTGTTTACAGAATTCGTTTGTGTGAATTAGAGAAATAGTTTTTTTCATTTATAGCAAAGAAAAAAAAATTGTATTAAAGAGAGAGAAATTTCCTCTACAGTCTATATGCAATTCTCCTAAAATTGCTTGGGGGATCTTGAACAAGGATAAATTAGTAGCTGTTAGGTTGGCCAAAGTTTAGACAGAATTCATCAATTTTTATTTTCATGTAGTACAATTTTCATGTTATTATATACAAAATTCATTTCATTGGCCGGGTACATTCAAAATAAACTGATCTTAGTAAATACAAGAGTTTAATATTATTCTCTAATGTAAGTTTATCTTGTTCAACTTTATTTTGGTGATTTAATTATCACAAATAATTCTCTAACCAATATGTCCCTACTAGTTATTTCTTTCTTTCTTCCCCAACATCCTACCATCACCACTACCACTACCACCACCACTACAGCACACCTTGACTATTAGTAACCATTATTTCAAGGTTCTAACTAAATATTGGAGAATATTTTCTATGTATTACATTTTTTAAAACAAAAAAAATACTTTTCACATTGCACCCATTAGACACAAGCACATTGAATGTAATAGCTTTTAGCTAGTCTTTACTGTCTTTCATTTCAAAATTTGATTGCAGGTGATTTATTGGGTATGCTTTTCTTTATAAAGAAGTTGGAGAAATAGATATTGGCCCTATTTATGAAGAAACCAAGGCTACAAGGTGTTCTTATATATGAAGAACTGTTTAGTTGTTATGATTACATTTTATCTTTGTATAAGTTACGTGTCATCTCATTGGTTGGGTTGATTGTGCTGGCATAGCTTTCTGTGTGTGGTATAACTGGATTGACTTTATTATAAACCATGTAATAATTTGTGTGTGAATTTGATTAGTGTGCTTTGTGTCACTACTACAATAATGGTAAAAGGTCACAGTTTTTAACTGTGATTTAGGCCTCATTTGAAAATAGATTTTTTTAGTAATTTTTTGATTTTTTAGCTAAAATATGATGTAAAAAAAATTAATTTGTTTGGGATGACTTTTTAGTTTTTTACGAAAAGATGTACAAAAAATAGAGAAAAAAAGATAATCATGGATTTTTTAGTATAAGTTGTTAGCTTTTTAATTTTTTTAGTGATTTTTGTATTTTTTTGACTAAAAAAGGCACTTGCCAAGCCTCGTTTGAGAACAGGCTAATTTAATAACTTTTTAGCTATTTGGTTAAAATATGAGCTAAAAAAAATTAGTATGTTTGGGATAACTTTTTAACTTTTTACGAAAAGATGTGCAAAAAATAGAGAGAAAAAAGAATTTTTGATTTTTTGATATGATTGTTGACTTTTTGACTTTTTTAGTAATTTTTTAACTTTTTGATTAAACCGGCTAGTCCCAAACGAAACCTAGTCTCAATTTTTATAATAGAAAAAGCGTGATGAGAGTGTGACTGTTTGTCTGCAAAAGATCTTGCTTTTTGTTAGAAAGCGTGATTGTTGAAGGGGAAACTTGGGAGCTTGAAAAAAAAATTACAAATACATTGGGTACAAGTGTATTTGTAGGGCATCAGGATCCTCTGGAGTGGTAATCCTACAGTGATCTCCTAAAATGGTTCATCCAAGGGCTGATATTAAACCTCATCAAAACGACGTCGTTTTGGTGAGCAATTTCAAAAAAGAAAATTGGTGAGCAATTTCAAAAAAGAAAAAAAAAAATCAGAATTCAAAATATCAAATTGTTCCTATGAAGCATTATAGAGAGAGAGAGAAGAGACTGAAAATATTAGGGCTTTGAAAAATCAGAGTGAGAGAGTGACAAGAAAATAAATTCACCTCTGTGGATCTGTGCTTGTATTTGTATTTTTTTCCTAACAAGTTATTGGGCATCAAATTGAAGAGAGAAGGCATGGAGGTGGGTTTTGGAGGAAGAAAGTACTCTAATTGGCATTGGAGAGAAAGCATCAACTTACGAATTTATCTTCTTCTCTCTCTCTCTTGTTGTCTCTCTCTCTTTTGGTAGCTTGGGCATCAAATTGAAGAGAGAAGGCATGGAGGTGGGTTTTGGAGGAAGAAAGTACTGTAATTGGCATTGGAGAGAAAGCATCAACTTACGAATTTATCTTCTTCTCTCTCTCTCTTGTTGTCTCTCTCTCTTTTGGTAGCTTGGGCATCAAATTGAAGAGAGAAGGCATGGAGATGTTCATCAACGAAATCAAAAAGGATATATATATATATATATATAAATCCATAGAAATCCAAAGAAACCCAGCTCGAAAAATCCAAAGAAATTAAAAATAAATACAAAAAAATAAAAGGAAATATTCCCAAACCCAGCTCCTATTTTTAGAGAAAAAAATGCACGGATTATACTCCATAGCAATAGATTGGGCTGTGCAGTTTGCGTCAGGATCCTCTGGAGTGTGAATCCTACAGTGATCTCCTAAAGTGGTTCATCCAAGGGTTGATATTAATCCTCACCAAAACGACGTCGTTTTGGTGAGGATTAATATCAACCCTTGGATGAACCACTTTAGGAGATCACTGTAGGATTCACACTCCAGAGGATCCTAACGCAAAAAATACAAATACAAGTACAGATCCACAGAGGTGAATTTATCTTCTTGTCACTCTCTCACTCTGATTTTTCAAAGCCCTAATATTTTCAGTCTCTTCTCTCTCTCTCTCTATAATGCTTCACAGGAACAGTTTGATATTTTGAATTCTGATTTTTTTTTTTTTTTTTAAATTGCTCACCAAAACGACGTCGTTTTGATGAGGCTTAATATCAGCCCTTGGATGAACCACTTTAGGAGATCACTGTAGGATTACCACTCCAGAGGATCCTGACTCGTATTTTTTTCCTAACAAGTTATTGGGCATCAAATTGAAGAGAGAAGGCATGGAGGTGGGTTTTGGAGGAAGAAAGTACTGTAATTGGCATCGGAGAGAAAGCATCAAGTTATGAATTTATCTTCTTCTCTCTCTCTCTTGTTGTCTCTCTCTCTTTTGGTGGCTTGGGCATCAAATTGAAGAGAGAAGGCATGGAGATGTTCATCAACGAAATCAAAAAGGATATATATATATATATATAAATCCATAGAAATCCAAAGAAACCCAGCTCGAAAAATCCAAAGAAATTTAAAATAAATACAAAAAAATAAAAGGAAATATTCCCAAACCCAGCTCCTAAATAGGATATATATATATATATATATATTCACATATATATGAACACAAACACAAATCAGAGGAAAAAAAAAAAGTGAAACTGTTGGAGTAAGGCAGGGAAGGCGTCGGCGGTGGGTTGGCAGCGACGGCGGCAGAGCGTCGGGGTGGGAAAGGGCGGGGTGGGGGTGGCTCCTCCTCTTGTCTCCTCTCTCAGTCCTTTTCTCTCTCTCTCTCTCTATCTCTTCCCCAGAAACTGAGTGAAAAGTGAAAATTTGAATCTTGAATTTTGATTTTTTTTTTTTTTCAATTTACTCACCAAAACGACGTCGTTTTGGTGAGGATTAATATCAACCCTTGGATGAACCACTTTAGGAGATCACTGTAGGATTCACACTCCGGAGGATCCTAACGCATTTGTAAGGGGTACAAATGAAAAACTATGAGAGTAAGTGTTACTTGTATTTCTCCATATGTTGGTAATAATTTTTTTCAATTCCTATCTACATATATAGTTCCCCCATTGTTTAAAGTTATAATCCTGCTTTTTAATAGAAAAACGTGACCGATTTTAACCTACAATCTCACCATTTTATAAAAGCGTGATATATCTTTTGCTAAAAAATCTCATTTTTTTGAATTGTGATGATTTATAGAACTCAATTCTTTTCCTATAAATTTTATTTACTATTTCTTCAATCAAACAAATGCATCAGACAAGAATAACTCCAATGAAACAAATACATTAAATAAGAATAGCTTAAATCAAACAAATTAAATCCACTAAATCCAGTATCAGTACTACAGTTGCAACTACCACAACCATCATCAGCATGTGCACAATAGTGATTCAACTCAACCAACTTCCCATCAGTTTTGGATTGAATCAAACGGTGAACACAGTTGTGTCCGACATATGGTCTTCAGCACCAACTTTGGCTTCCCACAGGCAAAGATTAATAGTGTTCCTAGTTTTGCATTCTAGAATGGGGCACATCATATGCTGCAAAAAATTTATTTCTGAAATAATCGAAAACAATATTCTCATCCTCACAGCAGCACAGAGAAGAAAGAATAAAAAATGCTTCTATACACATGTAACAAAACAATTCTCATTGCCATCCATTTGGTTGATGAAAAAATATAGGCAAACCATTGAAATCAATAGCTTTAAGGGCGTGAAAGAAACAAAAAAGATGACAGATAAACCAAAGTCTAAAGTAGAATTGCTTCAGCTTATACAATGTGGGTGTTTGGGAAGTTACTATTTTAGTACGCTATTTTAGTTTTGGACTACTCCTTCCGTCCCAAAATATTAGTCCCTTATTCTATTTTTCATTATTCCAAAATATTAGTCCCTCTTCAAAAATCAAATACAAAAATAATATAAATTTTCTATTTTGCCCTTCTTTTAAATTAATAAACAATATAAAAAGTACAATTATAACATTGATATTTCCAAAAAATGTACTATCAAAAGGGTAATTTTGAAAAATTAACTTTTTTCAAATGTAATAATTGTATTATCAAAAAAGTTAGATTCCCCAAAAATGACCATTATTTTGGGATGGAGGGAGTATTTTATTAGGTTAAAATTTTTGTGTTTGAGAATATGATTAAATTTTTTTATAGTTAGATATATGTTTGTGAGAGAAAAAATAAAATAATTATAAGTTTGATATGACATTTATCTTATCAATATCAGGAGAAATAAGTCGTAATTTGGTCAAGTGATCGTACCTGAAACCTATGAAACTCTACAAATCTCTCATCATCCCATATCAGTATCAAGAGAAACAAGTCCATATTCCAGCTGCACAAAACAAAGTGAATTTGGTCAAGTGATCAACATATTCAATTGTAACCAAGAAGTTCAGAAAGAAAAAATAAAATAAAATAAAATTAATTTTCCTACATTTCTAGATTTAATTCAATGGCCTCGATTGTAAAATATACATTTTAATCAAAAAACTTAAAAATTATTATAAATTGTCATATCATTCTATTTACTTTTCGGTATATCATTCGTAAAAAATCAATATATTACTAAAATAGCCTGTCGGTTAAATGCCAACCATGAGGTTGGTATTGCCAGCTGCACTTTTCCAAAGAAAGGGTAGGCAACAAACCAGTTTAACCTGACAAAGTTTTCATCAAATTAGAACTGAACATTGTCTGGTGGAAGAATATAAATAAAGATTGCGTTTGGATCCTCTAGAGTGGTAAAGGTGGAGCGCCACGTATCCCGTTTTTGAAGTGAATGGTCAAGATTAGTCTTCATCAAAACAACGTAGTTTTGGTAGAGGGAAAAAAAAACTTTGTTTGTTTCAGCTCAGAGAGAGAGAGACAGAGACAGAGACAGAGACAGAGACAGAGGAAAGGCTAAGGAAGAAGCGCCCTCCTTGCCGGCGCCGGCAGAACCATCTCTGGCCAGCTAAGCTCCTTCTTTTCAATTGAAACTCAAACCCAATTTATCCAACTCAAACTCAATTACTCAAACCCAGCTTATGCAACTCAAACTCAATTCCTCCTCTTCGATCTTTAATTTATCGAACCCCATCCAACCATAACTCCCATATCAAGAAAAACTTATTAAGATAAAAATTAAAAAATCCAAATCCAAACACAACAATAATTTTCAACCTTCCCTACAAACCCATAGGAAAATAATCCCAAAGAAAAAAAAAGAGCTAACCAGACCCAAAAAACACAAAGTGCACAAAAATCCTTAATTCTCAAATTCCCATTTCAAAGAAAATAAATAAATTTTCTAGTGGTGCTACCAAAATTTATCGATTTCCCAAGATCTGCCGAATGTGTTGTTCGTGAGCGACACCAGACTTGATCTCGACAGCATAAGGTGGGATCGATTGGAGTATAGAACGTAGTTGGCCGCAACAAGGTTGAGCGGCGAAGGCAGCGTTGCCTTTGGCATTCTTCCTCAGCCCCTCCTCTCTTTCTCCTTTTCCCTCTCTTTGAGTCACTGAACTGAAACAAACAAACAGTTTTTTTTTTCTTCACTAAAACGATCTCAGCCATTCACTTCAAAAATGGGACACGTGGCGCTCCACCATTACCACTCTAGAGGATCACTGTACCATTACCACTCTAGAGGATCCGAACCCACAAAGATCAGTGATCAAGAATGCAATCCAATTCAATGGTGGGCCGAGCTTTTCAGAAGCTGCTTACAATTCAACAAGCTTAGCTTCAAGATTTCTTATCTTATCTTATCTTCTTCTCTCTCACTTAAAGGGCAATCTCAAGAAAATGAAGTAGCTTGGCCTGTTGATCCTGCACGCCCTGTCCTTCCATGGTCTATAATTGAGGCAGCCAGAAATGAAGCATCAGGTTTAGGTATTCCAAAAGTAAATTAATGGTGACTGGCATCAGTTGACAAGAAGCTGAAAAATGAGTTGGAGAAAGGATTTATGACATTAAGGCCATGTTTGTTTGGGCGGACTGGATTGGCATTCCCATGACTAATAGTCCTAGGACTACGAATCTGTTGGATTATGTATCCTATCTTAACTAATAGTCAAGTTTAAAATAATTAATGCATACTTCAATTGTTTAACCAAACATCGGATTAATAATTTTATTGGACTATTAGTCCAATCCCAAGCTCATGTCCACCCAAACAAACATGACCTAAGTTCACACTTTAATTTGCAGAACAAATACTCTCCATATACAAGACTTTTTCTACCAATAATATTTTTTGCCAGAGACAACTCAATCTACAATGGGCATACATGAACCAAAATTTCCTGTGTTTGGTTTCAATTTTTGAATTTAATTTTTTAAAAATTGAATTTTTTATTTTTTGTATTTTTTTTTATTTTTAGTGAATATTTTTAAAATTTAAACCATTTTTTTACTTTTTTAGATACACCTTACTTAAATGTACGTAAAAAGTAAGATATTTATAAAAAATAATTTTAAAAATTCAGGCTCTGTTTGTTTGTGTTTTCAAAATATGATTCTACACTGTGTTTTCAGTATGGTGTTTGGAACGTGTTTTGGAAACACATTTCCAAAACTTTGCAGAGTTCTCTGCAGCAGCCATGCTTTTTAGAAATTTTTTTTTTCGAAATTTGGCCTAACGGGACGTCCGGCTGATTGACCGGCCGGTTGACCGGAATAGTGATTTTCTTTTTTTTACAATTGATATGTTAATTTTTATATAATCGAAAAAAATATTTTCTGAAATTTTTTAAATTTTTTTTGTGCTTTAAAATAATTTTGAGTTGTATGTTTAGTTACGAGTTATAAATTTTTGTATCAAATATCAAATGTCACATCAATAATTCCCCACTCAAATCAAAACTCTTCTCAAAACTATTTTCAAAACTCTTTACCAAACAAATTTTCTACACTCAAATCATAATTCCAAACCCCACAAACTCAAAATACAACTCATATTCTCAAATCATAATTACAAAACACAACCAAACGCAGGCTCAATAAATACACAAGAATACGAAAATGTATTAAATTATCTTATTTTTTAAATATTTTTGGTATTTAATGATTTTTTTAAAGATTTTTTTTAAAAAATATTATACTTTTTAAGTGTATTTATGTTAGATGTATCTAAGAATTTAAAAAAAAAAAAAATTGCTTAAAATATTAAAAAAAAAATCAGTGAAAAAAAAAATACAGAAAACAAAAATTTCAAATTTTTGAAAATTGTTTCAAAGAAGCTACCAACTTGCAGCCTGTACACCTTCGGAAGATCAAGATTGACAACATGAGCAACTCCAGTGACATCCAATCCACGAGATGCAACATCAGTGGCAACCTGCACCAAAACGAAGAAACAAATGAGACGACTAAAATCATTTTATAAAACCTTTCCTGAATCAAGTCAAGTAGAAATAAGACCAAAACATGACAAGCAAGATGACAAAACGTGAGAATGAAAAAAGTGCATGATCAAGAAGGTTTGGTTGCCACACAAAATTGTGGAAATGGGCCACTTCTATCAATTGGAAAACTCACATCTTGGCTCTAGCTCAATTTTGTAAAATATACAAATATTTCATATTACTCTACCAAGGCCTCTATATAAACTTGCTCAACATTAAAGGAAAATATTTATTACATACAGAAATTGAATAGCTCCATATCATTTCACATATTGTTCAAAGAGAAATTCATCATTATAAATACAATTAAAAAGTATAATATTTGATTTTTTTTTTTAAAAAAAAACTTCACTAAATACCAAAAATACAAAAAAAATATAAAAATTTTGCACATTTTCGTATTCTTGTATATTTATTAATTTTTAAAAATATTTTGTACAAATATTTTACTTTTTAAGTATATCTAGATTAAGTGTATCTAAAAAGTTAAAAAAAAAATTAATTAAAATATTAAAAAAATTCACTAAAAATAAAAAATGCAAAAAACAAAAAACTCGAGTTTTAGAAACTTAAATTTAAAAATTATAACCAAACAAATTTGTTTGAACCATGCATTTACAATTCTCAATAATATTAAAAAAATTATTTCATAAATACATTATTTTTTGGTAGTATATTATTTTAATATATTGTTTTTCTGGGTATAAAATGTTTAGTATTATATTGTTATATTTTAATATATAAATTATTTTGATATAAAGAATGGTAGAAGTCAAAAATGGTGAGAATTAAAAAAAAATAATAATGGAGGAAAGACCACAGTAACCAAGTGGAGTAAGTAAATTAGATAGTACAATGAAGGCAAAACAATCTTTTTCAAGCTTCCAAGGGATTAAAATTTTAATACCAAGTCTCCTTGGCCTTTGCTAATATCCTCATTTGACTATGGATCTGGAGATTCATTTCAAAAACAAATATGATAATTGTTATCCTTTCCTCAGTATTATTTTCAACATCTATTTTTAAAAACAAACGGGCCGGGTTTAGGATTTTTATTTTTTTCTAAGGAAAACATCATGTTAATATGTAGCACTTTGTGCTTCCTATTATAATGGAACTATATTTGACTCTTTAATTACCTTGATTGAGAACCTTCTTAGTTGTTATTTGAGCTTTGGTTGAGGTGTTACCATAGTGGTTAGGTGAGATTGAATAAAAAACTCCAAATTTGAATAATTGTTATTGAGTAGTTTTCACTATTTCATCATTTTCTCTCTCCATACTTTGAATCTTAATGTGATGCTAGAACTATTGAAAATCTTACTTCCGGGGTTTCAATTTGGGTACAAGAACGACCCTAAATGGAGTCTGGACGAGAGAGTTATACCTATTTGAATTTTTGCATTTTTGTGTTGGAAGTATGCTTGCTCTAGCGAGCTTTTCTTCGCTCGAGCAAACTGTGCAATTTTCAGAGATTCTAGGAGCTTCTTTTGTACGCTCGAGCCAAGCTTTCTTCACTCGAGCAACTACGTCGCTAACAAACATTATAAAGTGACTTTTGGCCCAAAAACTTTATTTTTCTCCCTCTCTTCTGCCTCTCTTCTCCTCTCATCCTCCAAACCGGAAACCCTAACCTTCCAAACTCTTGATTTCTCTTCTATTTACCCAAGATTCACCCCAAATCTTTTAAGAATGTTGAAGAGCAAGAATAGACCAAGACTTCTATCGCTTGTTTTGCGATTTCATTAGAGTTTCAAGTTGGGTCTTCATCTTTAGCTTCAAATCTTGAGCTTCGAATCTTGAGGTAAGGGTTTCTTTACTCCTTTCCAATACCTGATCTATAGATAGATATGTGGAAGATTTTATTGCATAAAAATCATTTCCATTATGGATTTCTTTGAAAATCATGAAAAAGGATCTAGGGTTTGTCATTTGGGAATGAGATTGTTAAATTGATTGTTATTTGGGTTAATTGGGGAGTAATCTAGCATGTTTATGTTGAAAGAAGAAAAAGCCCTAATTTAATGTTTTGACTTGGTAAATTAAAAAGGGGCAAAGTTAAATAATGTTTGTAAATTGTTATTATGGTTTGTGCAAATGTGTTAATAGCTAAAAGGGAGAATTAACTATAGCATTGGAATTATTTTGGATTGATTATATTAAGTTGAGTTGGGTTGTGGCTTTGATATCCATGGATTTAATTTTGTGAAATGAAAAGAATGGATTGGGATAAATGGTGGAGTATGTTAACTAGGAAAATAAGAGAATTGATCTTTGAAATGGAAGAATGAAAATGATAACACTGTGAATTTCAGAAATTAACTTGAGGTTGAATTATGAATATTTTATTTTACTATTGTTGTTGTTGGATTTAAAATCTCATAAGAGTTAGATTATTATAATACGTGTGTTGAATACATACATTTAGAGGTTTTGTCCTTGGTCATCGGTGGATGATGATATTATTGTGTTGAATAGTTTATGTGTATGGATTACACTTGTTGGTTGTACTCTGTCATGTTGTGATGATTGGTAACATATACTACGCTAGGGCTGTGCAAAATACCGCCTAATCCGCTAAAACCGCACCGATCCGCATCAATCCGCACCGCTCTAACCGCTAACCGTGGTTTAAACTTTAAAATTTATAATCCGCCAACTGAACTGCTTCGCTCCGCTAAAGGTAATACACATATATTTTTTAACTTTCAATGAAATATCAATGTACAAATGAGTGTGAAAAAGATTTAAAATATGAAATTTATTACAAATTAGTGGTTATATATATGAAACATATTTTGTAAAATTACTTTGTGTTATATATCTAAAAAATATTATACAAATTAGTGTTATATATTATGCAAATGTATGATAATTAGTTAGAATATTCTTCAATCCGCCAATCCGCCAAAAACCGCCCAAACCACAATTTGTCAATCCGCCAATTCGCTAACCCGCCATTCGATTTGTAATTTTACTCTCAAACCGCCCGAACAGCACCGCACACACCCCTATATTGCGCTGAGAATGAGAGATACCATTACCTTCTAGCTAGCACCTAGCGAATTGGCTGCATTTAGAATGAGAGGTACCAGTACCTTCCAGCTAGCGCCTGGAGAACTTGGCAGAGGTACCATTACCTTTTACTCGATGTCTGGTACCTTAGCATTTCATTATGGAAAGGTGTATCATTAGCTTACCGTGCTTAAGGTAGGTAGAGCAGAACTTATTTATCATTATTGTCTCAGTGTATCTGAGTATATTATGGGTTATGATGGTTATGGTTTTGGAACGCCGAGTTGCCTCATTTGTTGAGTAGATAGTTGTTGGTTGCTTGTTGTTTCTTTTTGTACTAAAGGTATACATGTATAGATATGAATGTGTTGGAAACAGACATAAGTACTGTATTGAGATTGTGAATAATGTGAAGGACATCAGATACTTGTGAACATGTTTTGAAAAAGCAAATCAGGTGTAAAACCGAAAAATGAGAGAAAACGTAATGGGTTTTGTGAAATTGTTTTTAGGAATTTGTTATTGTCATATGAATCTTGGAAAAAGGTAA